TTTAAACACAAATCCATTAGTCCTTTTCCATTCAAGATCCCAATCCCTAATCCCATGAAGATAATGAAGAGTCTTTAGGAGAGTAATGGGAAATAAACTGTATACCTCCTGATTTAGAAATCAGGTAGTGGGACTTCTGACTTGGATGCAATAGAGAATAAGGAGTTATTGTAGCCCCTCAACAAGGAAATACTTGATAGAGCAGAAAGATTCATCTTCATGGAACTTAATTCATAACAAACACAAATTACACTTTTCTAAGAAATAAGTCTAAATATTGAACTAATAACAATGTAGTGTTCCTAATCAAGAAACCAAAGGTTTAAAAAAATTCCATTCTGTCATAATTAAGGGGTAAATCAGATCAAATGAAAGATGTCACTGTTATTAAAACTTCATTTATTGAATTATGTTTCATGTGAATGGAGTGTATTTTTAAGATTATTCTACTATTACATAAGTCAATGTCATTTCCAGTTTTGGCAAATTTGACAGTAATGCCTTGTCATTGAAAATGTAACTGAGCTTATTAAATTAATTTCTCAAAGGCCACCTGGTATGTGTCAGATGGCAACCTGAACCGATGTCATACCAGAAATTTAAGTTGTAGGTAGCTTTACAAAGCAGCTTCTCACTCTCTCCTGATATGACTCATATGTGTTAGCCTCACACATAGGAAATAAAAGCCCTACCGGAAAAAAAAAAATTCCAAAACATGGGTTTTCTATTACTTTATAAATTGTGCTTGAACCTAATGAAATGTACTCTATCCACAATACTTGCAATAATTAATCTTTTTTCTTCATAGGGGTCTATCCAGAAATAGCACAATATGGAGTGATCATTAATAGACCTGTTTTGGTGCTTGAATAAACCTCATCAAGAATACAAGCACCCATTAGTCAATTTCCTAGAGAAAATCCATTTTCATTTCAAAATCTGACATAGTCTTTAGGAAAACTATGCATTTTCTTTAATTATTTCAGTAAACACAATGAGGGTATTGCTAACTACAGAGTAGTTTGTTTTTCCCTTTTTTTAGTAATATGAGTCTACTTGGAATTAAAGGCATGGCACATTAATGATGCCGGAAGTCTCCAAGGGAAACATTTAACGTCCACCTCATAATATTATGCCCAAATTACATGCACAGAACTTTTTAATAATCTTTGTTTCCTAATTTAGTTTTGATTGGCTCTGAAATCCACAGCCTCACTCAAGGGCTCACATTTCTACAGTCATCAGCACTTCTGTGCCATAAATCGTACAAATGCACATGAGTTCTTCTGTCTGTAGACTCCCTTTCAAAGCTTCTGTTGAACTTATCCAGAAAATTAGCTGCAGGCTGGAGATAACTGCAGATAATTTTGCCATTTTTAAGCCACTGAGGTGATGCATGGAGCTATGACAGCTAAGTTTGTCTAAATACAAAGATCAAGTCATCGCTTTGTGTTGTCACATCAGCTTTACATACAGGTTCAGATCCTCCTATTTGTTCTTTATGCAAATTGAAACAAATTGAAGGTCCTAGCTGATCTGTGTTTATCTGACAGAGCTGTGCTTCCTGAAGCTTTTATGTGGCTAAAAGAAGGGACTTCATCGATACTAACATATTATCCCAACCTAAAATAAATTAGTTAAAGATATTCTACTCTTTAGATTTATATCCTGTAACAGAGATACTTTTAGCTATGAACAACTGAAAAGGAATATGTTAAATTAAAAAAAAAAAGCTATGTGGTCTCAACACACACAACACATAAGTATACATGTACATATATGTAAAATAAAATAATTATGTATTATGTATCGCCCCAAGTCTACTTTCTGTAAATAGAAATAGCAGAATTCTAAAAGCTGAAACTGTTAATATACAAAGATTTAGATTTAGATGTTAAAGAATTATGAAATAGGTCATTCATATTAACAAGCAGAAATCTATTGCTGAAAGGGAATTCTTTGGTTGTTTCTTGACCTAAACTCTCACTCTAAATGCAGCACTCACAGATGGCAGGTAACAATGGAGTAAATGCACAAAGCAGCCACACAAACTCCAAGCATTACTGGCAAACTTCAACTTTATATAAAATAAATTGACTGTAGGAATTATGGGGTGTTTTTCTGGCCAGCTGTCCCCATGGTGCTCAGAATTGCTAGAGTCATATAATGAGCGTATCACTGGCTGAGCAGGTGATTGCTAAAACCATTTGCAGCAAACATTTACATATAAGGGCTAAGTAGTGGTGGCGCTTATGTGGCAGCCACCCTGATGTAATGGGCCATAACAACTCTGAGGGAGCAGGTAGCGATGGCGTGTCAAGGAGCAGAGACTGCGAAAGTCGTAACACAAATGACTATGGGTTCCCATTAGACCCTGGGCTAAGGAGCACCTAAACAGGTCTAATATGACAGCACCCTGAGACAGCTTTACAGCCTTGTCAGGAATGCTTAGACTAAAGAGCTTTATGGACAACCCCAAATGTCAGAGAAGAAATGGTACTATATTAGTCCACCACCATTGACTTAATATACACCATGCATACAAACAGAGCCAAAGTAAGCATGAAAAAGATAGATTATTAGAAGCCAGGTCATTCACATGCATATTAAAAAGGTCAAATGAAGCATGGACAGGTAACATTTCACAAATTCACTCTCAAAACAATTCTGCTCGATAACACACACACACCCAGCAAGGCTCCTAAATATATGAATCATAACAAGATGAAGCATTTTGAAAGACTGCCTTATAGAGTTTCATATAAACGCACAAGTATACGTGTGACCATACTTGAAACATTGAGGAATTCCATTTTAATTGCTTTTTTTCTTTTGGGGTCTAACATCACTGAGCCAGAGGACTGTAGGAAGAGGTTTCAGGAACTTTAGACCATGCCTCTGTAAAAAGAGCCGTAAGATGTTCTGTAAGGTGCCTTTTCCCACTCCTGATGGGTGAAAGACATGCTGAGGTTGCCCATAAAGCTTTCAGTGTACAGACAGGGACAATGCTCAGTCTGCATTCTCCCGCCAGAGGCTGAGATCAGAGAAGTTGCACATGCAAATCATACCCCAAACATACCATCCAGAGCCACGGCAAGTGGGCACAGCGCTCTAAACAGAATACTTCTATTTTACTTAAATCCATAAATTATTAAACAATTCCAGAAAGGCTTATTGCTAGCAATGGCACGCAAACCAATACACAGAACTAGGCTGTTCTTAATAACATGAAGATGTGGCCCAGAACTCAGCCTCTGATATAAGGCATGGAAGATTGCACGTCCTATCGTCTGAACAGCAATTTCACCACAGATTTGCAATGTGATCTTAAATTTGACCTTTTACGAGAAATCATTAAAGACCTTCTATAAAAGCACCAAAGTCCTTGCTCTTTTACAGATTCATGATAGTTCTGCTAATGTGTTTGTTTAATGCCTCTTCTGGAAGTCTCTGATCTCTACAACACTTCTTTGCAAAACACATACCTGTTTCCCAGAGAGACGGGTTCTCTTTTTGAAATATTTAGTCTTTCAGGGCACTTTCGTCATAGTGACACCTAATAGCCAAACTCTTTTTCTCACTCTCCACAAAATCAGGTTTAGACTATAATTCAAACCAGTCCCCAAAGGCACTTCTGAAAAATGGCAAGCCCTTTGCTTTTAGGTGAATACACTCTTTATCGCTCAAAATTGTTTCCTGTTAGAAAACCTTTCTTCAGAGCTCAGTGGAAGATGATCTTATGTTAATTTAACTCACCAGGGACTGCGAATAGATGCTACTTTGATTAATAGTTTCACTATCCTGAAAATGCCAGGCCAAGTTCAAGATAATAAAGTCAGGTAAGAATACTATTAAAATCTGCCATACGATTATATGTATTACGTGAAGAAAAATGGGATCACAGGTCCTGAATCAAATACACACCACTTATAATAAATTTTTTTTAAATGACATAAACCAAATGAACACCCTGTCTGAATACTTTAGCACACTGACTTACATCATTTTAATCACCAAAGTCTTTACCAATACCTTATAGGAATATTTTCAGCAATGTCCTCTGTGAAAATTCAACATGTCACTCCTTTTCACATAGCATTTCATTTTCTACCCAGGAAAAAACTTATATATACCAAGAAACTATAAATTCTATAAATTTGCTTATCAAAAGCATATTTTTTAAAGGTGTATGTCCCACCTCATCGCTTTTCAACAAATGTTTCGATATTCTTACAGTCATCTTTAAAATACCTACAGGAAACCTCAGTCCTCAGCCCTGGAAAATAAGGGGCTACTTGAGTCAACAAGAGATGCTTTTGGAAAAGATCACAAGATAAGTTTGCTATTTTTAAGCCATGGGTGTGCTACATGGAAATGTGACAGCTAAGTTTGTTTAAACACAAAGAACAAATCACTGCTTTGTGTTTGTAACTTCAGCTCCCCACACAGGTGAGGCCCTCTTGTTTGCTCTTGATGCAAAATGAAATTGAAATGGGTCTTTAACCTAGGATTTCCAAATCACTGTGGTTTCCTGATGAGGAAAACCATGATATCTAATCAAGCTTTGAACTATGGGACTTGGGCTTGACCTTACCTATCTGTATGTGAAGAATCTTTTGTGATGTTGGAGTTGATTTCTGATGGATTTTGTCTTTACCGTAACACATAATGCCTAATCATATTCCCAATCTCCAACCTGAAGTCTAAACTTCAGCTGTTTTTTTTTTTCCTTTTATCATTTACATACCGCACACACCTCTCTCAGTGAAACCTTTGCTTTGCAAAAAAAGCAGCAGGTACCTCTCAGAACACTGATCACACTGCATACTGTCATCCACTCCATGGAGGATGAAGCTAACCTCTTAGCATAAACCTGCCACCTGCAGACACAGATCGCTGCACGAGTGAAGTCCTTAAGCTCATACCACTCGGATGCATATATGAATGAATGCGACATGCCCCACTTCAAGTGAAATATTCAATTACAAAGGTTGTCTCACCATTGCACAGAAAGTCTCAGGAGGGTCTCCACAGGTAATGTCTGGGGGATCCAGTTTCACTTTCAGGTACCTGGTCATGTCTGTGGATTCCGGCTGACAGGCCATGTAATCCCAAACTTTCCCTTCTTCTGTGTAAATTTGAGTCTTACACACGTCATAATGTCCCCACACCAGAGGGTAGGGCTGCATCACCGAGGACACTGTGACCCAGAGGGCATGAATGGATAGGAATCTTGACAAATACATCTCTAATTTCTTGGCAATCTTCGTAGATGCTGAAGCAGGGTTTGCTTATCTGAGAGCTACGTTGATTTTATTTGTACATATATGTCTTTAGGTAGGTAGATCAGTGTATCAAGAGAGAGTAAAAGAAATAGGATGAGCCCTCAAAGCAGGTTCCAAAACTAAAAGGGAAGGGATAGGCAGCGTGTGCCTTTTGGTACGTCAAGGACTTTGGTAGAAGCCGAACATGCTTCTTGGGTGTGAGGCAGTGACAACAACTTGTAGCTTTTTCATTGTCCTAGAACATGTCTAATCGACTGGAGTCTAGTTTGGATTTTGCAAAAGGTGTCCAGCAATGGGTAACGATGTAGCAAAGTGATGGCTCTCCCCTTGTACATCGGATAACCTCAGGTGACCCTCGATGTTCACAGTTCACAGGAGATCACAGCAAGGACATATCAGCCTCCGAAGCAAAAGGGTGAGTGTCTGTAGCCCAGTGTCTGTTTGCCATCAATCATTTTTTTTCTTCTGACACCGACACCCTTTTAGAAACAATAAGAGTAAGAGTTATTGTCCCAGAATCAATGCATTAGAAAATGTATGATATGTTGACATTTGGGAGATTTGGTGCAATAAAAAGCAAATTGGTGTAATAAGGATAACCTTTACTCAGCTGCTTTGCAAGGATGAGCAAACCACAGAAATCATTCACATTGGGAAGAATTTTGATAGGAAGGATTTAACTCTTCCATACCAAAGACAGATGCATGTGGTAACCAGTAAGTTACTGGTTTTGGTTTCAAAAGTTAGACTTCTGGGCCCTATCTGGAGGTGCAGTGGGTTAAAGCACAGCACTAAGAGGCTAAAACCACTTCAGCATGAGTTCGATCCCCGCCCCCACATGGTGATCCACATGGCATAGCAGACCTCTCCTGACCTGCCCGCTGCTCTCCTCAGCAGTGTACTTTATCAATCAGCCTGTTCTGCTCCCCACTCTGCCTCTGGTGAATCCTTTCACTGCCCCTGCACCTCTTGGCCTGTACCCCAGTTCTGTGTTCACAAATAAATCTTAAAAAAAAAAAAGTTAGACTTCCCTCTTGACAAAACTGAGAATAAGCAACTAGATTTAAAGATTCTCGTGTAGGGCGGTCTAGGAAATCTTCCATGAGAACGATAAGGAACCGACTGCTTTTATTCCAATGACAAAGAGAAGTGACAAATACTTAAATGCTTTTGCCTTTTGCCAAAAAACCCTAAACACCTCCAAGTTCCTTGTACAGTTCTTAGTTTGTGTTAGCAAGAGTGAAAATTGGCATTTTTGTCACAAGCCTGCCCCTTTGGGTTTACTCATTATATTTGGAAAATTTAGCATCTTTTATTTAGTTGCATTTAGTGATAAAGATAACATGGCTTTCTCAAAAATAGTAAAAAATAAAGCCAAAGAAGCAAATTTTCCTTTTATAAGAATTTTCTATTTTCTTACATCTTTTTATAGCCATTACATCTGCATTTGCAGTTACTTTCTGTAACAGAAGAAGCAAATTTGTCCCAAAGGCAAATATTATACACTGCTTTAAAACTAAAAGCTCTGTAGTAAAACGCACAATTTAAAATGCACATATAAAAATAGTGGCAGGTGAATTAACAGGCCATGAAGCAGAATAATATGGCATGAATTCTAAGATAAAATAAAAATTACTGTTTAAAAGTCCTTTTGTTTAAATGATAATGTGCTACATAACTATGGGTTCTAGCCACTGGTATGTTGGACTGTTAACTTTTCTCTTTAGAGATCACTGTCTAAATCCACACAATATAAAAAGTCCAGGTGCTAAGAAAAAGTGTACGTGCTTAAATAGTTGGTTCACACTGTCATAGTTCCAATAATTGTTTTTTAAAAACCTGAAAATGACAATAAATCCTACAGTTCTAGGCAATCCCATTATAGGTCCTTCTATTTATATTAAGAAGTTTAAATATGGAAGTTCACTATCTTCAAACAATCTTATAAAAGGAATTCACTAGATTTAAATAATGCACCATCTTAAAATGAACTAAGCCACAGAGACTATAAAATGCCAACAGATGGTTGAATTGTGTTTCCATAGCAAAGTAATTTATAATAATTGCTTTATGGATGCAAGTGCAATTTTCATTATATTCAATTCATAAAATGTTATCATACAACTGCAATTTGTGATATTTTCTATTAGGAAAAGTGTTGAATATTTGAGTTCCTATGAAGCAATAATTAACAGTTTGTCTAAACATGTATAAACTACAGATTTGAATCTGCCTCTTCTTTATAGCATAAAGAATATACTGTGTTGAGCACATTTTGAAATCTTAAATTAAAAAGAAAAAGCATCACACAGAAGCATGTGTTGTGGCTACTCTAGCTTACTGCTTTTTTCAGTTTCATTAATGATTTTGGTATTTTCAGAAACATCCAGCACTTTGACAATTAATAATCTGAAAAAGTATTAAAATAATACAAATTCTTTTACTAGATGCATTTTCCAATTATATTTATGAAAAGAACAAACACTTTCTTGGGGGAGGGATAAGTGGGTATTAAAGCTGAAGTATTAGCCCAGAAATTACTAACTTCAGTTCTTGGTTTCATTTACATAGCAAGTTCTTTCTGGAGAACAATATAATCTTGAAGACCTAGAAGAGATTGCTTTGAGTTTGAACTGAATATGCAATATGAATTAATTTTTAATATATTTTAAAAACAGGAACTTAAGTGTATATCTGAATACTCGTTGAGATTAACCATCACATTTATTAACCAGTAAATGTCAGCACCTAATCCATTCATTCTTGATAACTTTGTTTTCATCCATGTTTTGCCTTATTGCATTCACAAAATAAAGGGTGACGGTGTGTGTGAGAGAAAATTTTATAAGCTGAGGAAATGTATGTGAACCTGTTACTATTCCTGGACTAACAGTGGTCCCAATATAACAAATTCTCATTAACGTATACCAGAATATTATGATGGTCATTACACAGAATTATGGACTACACCATTGATTGAATTTAGGAAACTGACAAGGGAAAATGCCGAGGAGGGCAAGATATTTGAATATTAGGCAGTTGCAAGGCCACGCGACAGACATTCTTGACAAAAAGGAGCCAATTATAGCTTAAATTTCTGGCACATAACCAGTTGTGATTAATAGTTTTCCATTACATTACAGACATATTATTAATGTATTAAAAATGTCAAGCTTTGGCAGCAGTAATATGGCATGGCTCAGTTAGTCTGCAGAATTTACATTTAATGAGCTCCCATTGACACAGAAAAAGGTATTGACCAGGGCATATTACAGATCAGGAGCGGAGGGTCACTAAGCTGTTCTTTAAAAAGTGTTTGATTTTATTCTAACTTTCATGTTTGTAGGTCATCTAGTATGTATCCTTCAGATGAGGGCCTCCTTGATGCCCCGGGCCATGCACACTTCAAAGAAAATCTTAATTTAAAGTGAATAAGAAATTATACCTAAGAACTTCCATACCACACAGTGGGAAGGAAGCCTCTTTCAAAATCAGGTATTTTTGCATTAAAACGTAGTTTCAGAGTTTTCTAAATAAATAAAGTAATATAAATAAATACAGAACATTATTTTCCGCTTCACCTCTATTCCCTGGTGGTATGGGTAACCATCTGGCTGTGTTTTCAGCCAGATTAAAAATCATCAATAGTTTCTTAAAAGCTAGGTCATCCCAGCTAGACAGCCAATTATAAAAAGGGTAGTCAATGACATATTTGGGGATTTAAGATACTAAGCCAATTCCTTCCGACCAGTAACTGAACTGACTGCCAAGTAATGTGGGATTTGACTTTTGTCTCAGAACAGTTCTGCATCCCTCAAATGTGAGTAGCTTTAGAAGGGGCCAGGCAAGCTCAAGTTCTAACTCTTGATTTTGCAAACCATGGGAACTCACTGCAATTAAATAACGCTATCAACCAACCTGTGCACTGAAGTCCCGGAAAGTAATCTTTGATAAAAATACCCTCTAATATGCTGTATATCAAATAGATCTCTGATGAGCAGACATATTTGTACAGCCAATGTAAAAATATAAAGTTATGTCATGCCCTCAAGTTGATAGATGTCATTGACCTAGACTGAAAAGAGCTATTATCAAATGGCTCTGTATACACGGATCATCTTTTTCCAGGATTCTGTAGTTCAAGCCCCTTCTACCTTGTATTAACTTTGCAGAAGGGATTTTGTTGGCCTTTCTTCTCTCTCATCAAGAAAGCAGGCACCCAAAACATGCCATGAAATAATGATTACAATTATAGACAAACATATTCCCAAAACAATCGCCAATTTTATCAACTGAGAGGAAAATATTGACAGTCAAGACACTAGCTGTAGTTGGCTTTCGGCTTTCACTTTATTATATAATCTCACTAGGAGGAGGGTGTGGTGGTACTAGGCTATTTATTCCATAAATATTCAGCTTTTCAGGGGTACCTGAAATAGACAATTATTGACTCATTCCTCATAGACATTAAGGATTTTATAAATATGCATGTGTTTGAATGCGAAGAAACAAAAAGAACACTGACTATAATCACATCCCATCGAGTGAAAAATATAAAAAGATATATACAAATTCAAAATCAGTAGCTTCCAACACTGTCATCATGACATTAACTCTACATTAACATGCATGTTGATTGTTCTTTGCATTTTTTTGTTGTGATGAAGCATTTTCTAGTCTTCTTAATGGGAAACATTTACTCCTGTTCTTTTGTTAACTGTCTCTCTGAAAACATAAGGAATGGAGATGTACTGCAACATTAGTGGCTTATTTTACTCTTACTTGATGGGATATTATGAGAACTGCCTATCATAAGACCTTAATAAAACTAAATAGCAGGTCTTACTATTTTGAAAGAGCTGTTTTCATTAAGAGAAGAATGACTAAAGAAATCAGAGAATTGTATTTTGCAGTATGTTTGAGGGTGGGATAACACATAAAATTATTTCAGAATCAGTTAAGTCTAGAAGTCTGGTGTTTCACTGCCATGAACAATAAATCTTCATTCTCATGTAGAGAAGTTCAGAGATCCAAGGTTTCACAGACATATTTTAAAAAATCTACACCCATCTGAAGTTTTTTTTTAACACAACTCTGGATTCTCAAAATAAAATTATTTTTAAGTATGTTAAATATTTTACTGTCCTATTATATAATTCATACATATTTTTCTGTTAAAATATAATTGATTTTCTGAGTTGTAGGAATTTTTCTTTCTTTCCAAAAGACTTGGTATTTTCATTAATTCAAAGTCTGTCTCCAAAACTTTATAATACTTAGAGAACAAACTAAATGTGCAATCGCTTACTTTCAATGATTAATGTTGTCTGACTTGTTCCACAATAATCATGGAAGCAAAGACAGGTGTTATACCAATTACAAATACACAAAGTGAAACTGTAAAATACATGTACCTCCTTTTGAAAAAAACTAACCTGGATCATTTTAATGCAGATTCTTATTAAACTCTATCTTATTAAACTCTAAAAGAAAAATTTTAATAGAAAAAAAAAGCTGTTGTGCAAGTAAACTATTTACTTTTAAAATTTCAAGACTATCTTTTTAAAGTTTCACTAATATTTAAACTTTAAATGGGAAGCAAGACCAAATTAATAGACAGATAAACTTCTGAATGACCTCATGTTGGTCTTCAGTGATCAATGATATCCAGGAAGCAAAAGGAATATATCCCTGATATATGCAAGCTGGAACAACATGACATGTAAAAACACTTGATGCATTTTTTTCCTTTGCATCCTGATCCACGTGCAATAATCCAAATTTTATCTTAGTGAAAAACTGAAAGTTGTTTATCTTCCAAAATAATCTTGGGCAGTTATTGAGCTACATTTTCTTTGCCAAAGAAAAGGGGGTAGGAGTATAAAGCACTCAAAGTGACACAGTTCAAAATAGTTAATGAAGTCTGGAATTGTTAATGCAGGTTAGAAATCCCCTCAAGGAATCCACAAATCAGAAAACCTTGCCCCTCCTCTGAAAAGGGGAATTTCTGGGAAACTTTTTCTAGCAAGCTCACCAGTAAGTATACTTAAATATGATTTTGTTGGAAGACTTTAATTAATGCTTATACTTTTTTTTTCCATTTCTGCAAGATAAGAAAACTTTCAGTATTTTCAATCATAAAATGGGGCCTTATTTCTAGAGCAAACTACTGCCAGATACACCATATGTTTAGTAGAATTCTGAATCTTACTCAGAATGTTCCAAAAGACTGACAAACTGTTATGTTAAAGAGTGGTTTCATTACCAAAACCTGGGGAAGATGAAGAATGGGGACGGGGGTGGGAAAACAAAACCCTCTCTCTCCCCTTTAACAATCTAAACCCGATGCGATAATGGGAATGCAGCCTCTGACTTTGCTAAATAAAGTTGCTTTTAAAATCCCCGCTCTGAATGTGCCTCCTTGCCCTGCAAAATGACAAGCTCCTAAGTGATTTCAGCGAGAGGCTGGGGGGAAAAAAGGTCCCCGGTGAGGTTATTAAAATAAGCAGTAGAGGGCGCAGTTTCTTTTTTTATCTAAGTTTTCCCGTGCATGAATCACTTAATTGGTTATTTTGGGCCCAATAACATTCAGTATTATTTGCATTATATATAGGTATCCACAGATCCATCCAGGAGAGAAATTCGATGTTCCTATCACAATCTATGTACTGATTAATTGTAATGCCAGTAAAAATTCTGAGGAAATATTCCCAACAGCATTCCTACACCGAGTCTTTCCCTCTCAATCTTCTGGTCTCCCCTGCTGCACAACCTGGGATAGTAAAGCTCTAATCTCGCACCCATACGGGAGAATAAAAGCAGGGAACTTCAAACGCTCTTAGTATTTCCACCGGCCCCAACAGGCCGGCCACAGGGCAAGTTTCCCCTACACCTCAGACCCCAAAGCAGAGCCACTCGGCAGAAAAAAAGGCAAAACAGGGACCCTCCCTCCCGTGCGTGGTGTGTGGCCAAGTGTGTGAGGGGGTTTGAGGGGCGCCGCCCGCGCCCGGCAGTCGGTCCACTGAGGCGCCCCCCGCGCCAACGCCCCGGCTCTGGCTGCCACACACGCGGAGCCCTCCGGGCGCACCCTGGGAAGACCCGCGTGTGGGTGTGAGCGTGTGCGGGCTGTGCGCACCGAGGCTCCGCGCGCTGCCTCCTCACGGCGCTTCACAAAGTTCCTCGCCCACCCAGCACCTTCCCTCCCGCCTGTGGATTGCGCCTGGAGGGGGAGCGCCGAGGGAGGCCCGGGGAAGAGGGGCCCGGACGAGCCGCGCGGGCGCGGGCAGGGGACGCCGGCCGCACTTACCGGGTGGTCCGAGCGCCCGAG